TAGAGCCCGGCCTCGCCGCTAGGGAAGCGGGTCTGGTAGAGGTTGTGTCGCTGCCAGTGTGCGGGATCTCCGGTCCGGGGCATAATTTCACTTTGTACCCGCTGGGGCGTGAGGGGGCTCGGCCGCGCCGGCCTTGCCGCCGCCAGACTCATCGGTGCTCGAGCTCGGTGCAGCGTACGCAAAAAGCTCTCTCCCGGGCCGGGAAGCTGGTCGTCCTCGCCGTGCTCCGCCCATCGGGTTTCTCCCAAGCCGCTAGGTCTCCGGAGGGGCGCCCTGCTGAGTCTAGACCCGCGGGCCACGGGCGGCGCTCCTGCCTGCTCCGGGGACCCGGACGAAGAGCCTGCCCCGTGCAGTCCGTCGGGAAACCATGTGCGGTTTTCTCCGCGCTTTGTTCAGCCATCCGTGTAGTCGCTCTTCTAGTGCTAAAGTGTAGGTACAGTACTCAGCAAAAGACTAGTTTGGCAAGATTTGGATACATTTTATACACAAAAGCAAAGTGAGGAGAAGTCTTGTGTCATAGGTATGATGTATTTTCTGGCCTAATCACTAAGGTGATCTTCTCTGGAAAGGTGTTAAAGTGAATTGCTTTCTGAAACGAGATCTACCACTTTCATGGTTATATCGGGATTACAGAAGCTTTATGCTGTATTAGGCTATGAACCACACTGTGTTTATTTTCCAAGGTAGTGGGGATATGCAAAAGCTGGGCTATCCCCAGTTTCTATTTAGTTGCTGCAGAGCATCAGTTTGGTTTATTTAGTTATCCCTCTCAAAATATTAACAATCCTTTTCCGAGGCAAGGGAGGCGGCTCAAATGTTACGTCTTGGGAACAGCTGGTAAAGGATATGTGTGAAAAATTAATTATGGCTTACACTAGATATTTTTAAAGATGAAAAGTGTATTTGAGCCAATTCACACAAAAATGATGAAAGTATAAGATGAATGGTTTTGAGCTCTGCTTATAAAATACCACATGCTGGGGCTGAATTGAATATCTTGACAAAGAGTGTGCTGATGACAAATTACTGGATATGGAATACTTATTCTTCTGATTGTCAGTTCCAATGAGTCCCAGCTATTGGGCTTTTTACAAAGCAGGGGAAATGCCAGTAGGGGGACCTGCTGTTTTGATTATTTTGTCTAACTCTTCTAATTCTGATGCTTCTGAGTTTGCTGTCAGGTTTTTGAAATGTTAACACACATATTTTCCAGAGTCCAGCATATAATGCTTTTTCAATAAGAGTCTGAAAAATAACTTGGGTTTTCCTGGGTTTTGATGGCAAGTAAGTTTAGTTTGTCTGTGGGAAGCACCGCATTGTTACGAAGACAGGGCATACAGTTACATTTCCCTTTCTCGATAATTAGAGGAGATTTTAAATGTGTGTCAAATTACATGCAATACTCAAGGAACCAGAGCAGTTTAATGAATTGCCTATATAGTTCTTTTGGCTTGAAGTGTGTGGAGGTGTGTATGAAATTTATTTTTTCAAAGAAATAGGTAATAAAAATGCTTTTGAAAGTTAATTAAGTTGATGCGTGGTGTAATCTATTGAGTGATTCACTCTAGTGAAATTTTAGCACTTTCAGTTAACTTGCTTTGACAGTTTATTTATGTTTTGATATCCAAGTGGACTAATGAAGCATAGCAACAGAAAATAGGGGTACAAAACATAGGTGACTATTGAGCTCAATATTTCAGTACATTGCAAAGAAACTCAGGAAGCTAGAAAATGCTAAACTAGTGCATGCTAATTTGCCATGCAGTGCAGTGGTATTTTCAGGCAGTTAGTAAAAATAAAGTTGAATCAGAAAAGCGTCACAAAGTTGATGTCATGTGATCAAACTATCACAGATTTATCCACAAATAGAAGCACAAGGAACATCCTTTATTGCATTTAGCAAAGAGTTGGAGTACCTCACATTTCTTTCTAATGGCTGTTCATTTTTCTGCAGGCATTAGTCTGATTAATCTTAAGAGGATGAATGAGGTTTTAAATGCTCTGGAATGCACAAAGTGTTTCATTTTGGACTGGCAAGGATAAACACAGATTCAGTTTTGCAGTTTGAAGTGAAATTGCTCTGGACTCCTTTGCTTTCAGTGACAAGACAAATCAGCAATAAAAGCATCTCATTATGTGTTGTAGCATCCTTAGTACTGATGAGCAAGGTTGATGGAGTGATAGCTTTAATGAGTTGCATGTAATTGTAGTGTGGTCTACATCAGAATGCCAGTGGGATGTGTAAATTCCTTTGATGTGTGCTTTTAGGAAGCCCCAGAACATTTTGTTGTGATGTTGTCTTCCTGCATACCTTATTTCTATGCATATGATGTTTATAATTGCTTTTAGCCATCCATGTAGCAGTATGCTTTTTTCTATTCTATTCTATTCTGTCTTTTCTTTGAGAATAGAATTGGGAAGCAACTGCTCACTTCAGTATCGGCTTTATCCAAGCGACTGTCTTATGTGGGGGGAGAAGACGGGCTGTTCTCCACGTTATTATAGAACAGCGTTTTTCATGTTGTTACTTGCATAGCAGAATAACTGTAGGACTCAGCCTGAATCAGGCTTAAATGAACTCTAGAGGCAAAGATGTACTAGAATTTTACTATTTTTACATGATTGCCATTTTTATTGAATGCTTGAGCGTAGGTATTATCTTTGCTTATTTCAGGACTGCCTCTGAATCGCAGTCCAGAAAGAAGAAACAATCGTGTTGATTTAAGTTGCACATTTGTCTCTAAGATTAAGAACAAAGCCATGCCAGTGTTTTCGGAAGACTCAGGTAACTAATCTGCATGCTTTCAACAGATGAGTGACCAAAATCTTAGTATATGTATTTCACATAGGAAATAAACTGAAATTGGAGTTAAATAAAATAGAATTAAGGTAGTTCAACTACGTTTCTTAGCAATTACCAAAAATAATACAAGGAAGGTGGATTATAAACGGTGGAAATGAATAAAGTTAGTAATAAGAGCCCTAGAGCCCCTGAATATATGCTGGTAGACAAGTTCCTATAGACAGTCTCTTAGTGTAACACTGGCTTCTATGCATGCTTATTAAATATCAGCCCTTATATTTCTGCAACTTGCTGTTCCACTTAATATTTTCTGAATAGGTGTTAGTAAGCCTTGTTAATATTCTTCCTTTTAGCTTAAAAAAACTAATTCCATTCAAGGCTTACTAACCATCTTCTCCAGTATGCCGACGTGGGTGAAGTCGTATATGCTAATGATACCGAGTTTTAAAGCAGAAGTGAGTTTGAGTGTCCGAGATCCAAACGCACTCTAGAGAGAACAACTCCGCTCATGGAGAGAATAGCCAAAGGGAGCAGATTTTAGCCCCCCTCTCCTTGTTTGTTTGTTTGTTTTCTGAGTCATGGTCCACCAGGAAAAACCTAATGTTTGCCTGGCCCTGTGCACTGCCACATTAGGATATTGATAATTTAAGCACGTTTCAGGAAACCAGCCACAAGCTTATCTTCCACTGTGATGGAAATCTACACTACTCTTATCTTACTCTGGTCAGAACTGACTTTTATCAGGTGCTTCATGCTAGCAAGGGCAGGATAACACTTGTAGGCAAAGCTGCTTGGGAAGTAGAGCTGGTAGCTGTGCAACGAAGTAGGTAGTTCAGTAATTCTGCAAGTCTGCTGTGGCACTCTAATAACTCAAAGTTTGTTACAGGGCTAGTTCTGGAAATAAAGAGTAAATAGCATGAAGGGGGAAACTTGAAAAGTAATGTCTTTAAAAACATGTATTTCTTTGGTAGCTTTTTCCTTAACGTGATATGTGTTATATCAAGCTGTGTTTGCTACTAAAGAAGGGAGGGAATGTTACAAAATTAGTGCAAGATAAGCACAAATCTCTCTGCAAACTTAATGATCACCAAGATGGTACCCAGATAAATGTAGTTGATGTGATAGAAGCCATGCTATCTACAAAGCTTTTGTTCTGTCTTAAATTTAAATTTAGGATTGCATGAAACTTTAGCCCTTTTGACATCTCAGCTAAGACCTGATTCAAATCATAAAGAGGAAATGGGATTCCTTAGGGATGTCTTCAGTGAAAAGAGTCTCAGCTACTTGATGAAGGTAAAAGTTCAAAAATGAACACAAATTTTTTTCTTACAGGTTACTTAGTCTCTGTTAGGTACTAAGTCTCTACTTACAGGTCTCTTAGTCTCTCTTCATTTATCAATCATTTACTTTGCCAAAGCTTGCTTTTTTTGTTTTGTTTGTTTTTTAAGAAATCTATTATGACCAAAGCATTTATTCATTTAAGCACAAACATTAAGGGTAGTTGTTGAGAGTTAACATATTTCGTTCAGAAAAAAAAGTTTTTGTCTTGATTGCCAAAATGCAGATACAGTGCCCTGTAGCTAAAAAGCAGTGTGGAACGGCTTCATTTTTTTCCCTTATGCTGCTGAAGTCTTAACAGATTTTCTGGCTGTGAAACTAGCATGAGCAAAAAGAAAATTGAGAGATTCCTAAACAAAACAAAAATGAGAGGTTATTTTTCTGATGTTTATCTAAGAAAAAAAAAAATCCTTAAGTATAAAAATATTTCAGTATAGGTGTATTTGGGAAGTTCTGTATCTCTTTGTAGTAATATAACTGAATAATCCTTTTCAGATTCATGAAAAACTTCGTCATTATGAAAGACAGAGTCCGACTCCTGTTTTACATAGTGCAGCAGGATTAGTTGAAGATGTAAGTAAAAATTCTTGTCTTCTTATTTTCCTGTTGTTTAAGCCTCCTTTTTTAACAAATCAAAGCTATATCTTGTTTGATGGACTTCTCTAATTTTCAGGTTGTTAATTTCTGTTTTAAAGGTAATAGAAGAATTGCAGACTGCTCCAGTGAATAACGAAGAAAAAGAGCTACTTCAGCTGTTGTCAACACCACATCTCAGGGTAAAAAAAAACATACCAAAGACCTTAACAAAATTTCTTTGCAGAATACCAATAGAATATTTTGTAATGGAAAAATTACATTGGAGAGTTCCAAAGAGAGGAAAAACCTCGTACAAAATGTAGTTCTATTCCACTACACAGGCTTTAGGATGCAAAGGGTATTAAGAAGACACAGTGTAGGCTTTTCATTCACAATGCACCATGTTGCCTTTCCTTACCTCCTTAATATTTTCTGAGGGAGCAGAAAATGAAAGAATACCATTTCTTAACCTTTTGCTTTCCATAGTCCACCTCCATTCTGTAAGTTTTTTTAGGCTGAGCTTTGTTGTTGTCTGGATTTACTTTAAATATCAACATACACCAATATATAGTTTACAGGATGGGTAAGATAATTGCTAAATCTCTTTTTGGGAATTTTTGGTGAGGGTGGGAAAGGGGAGTTTTAAGTTTCCTGTAGTGTGGGAAACATTAAAACTGAAAGCTGTAGTATTACCCCGTTACATTACTGCATCTTATTTCCTTTATGCAGGCAATGCTTGTAGTACATGACACTGTAGCACAGAAGAACTTTGACCCAGTCCTTCCACCTCTACCTGATAACTTGGATGATGATGATTTTGATGAGGAATCAGTGAAAATTGTTCGGCTAGTGAAAAATAAAGAACCCTTGGTACATATAAGATAACCTATGTTTAGTCATAAAACTCTGTAGTTCATTATTGTGAGTATGGAAAAGATACTTGAAGAGGTAGTCGGTCTGCAAAAACAAGGAGTGTCCTGAAGCTAATAAGATATCTTTAAAAGAAAATTTTGGTAAATACAACCTTACAGTTTTATGTGAGATGCTTTATAGGCATGGGTTTGTAACACCTGTTAACACAGGCAGCATGATCTCTGAGGAGACTGTATATGTTGAAGCAATTATGCTCATTATACATATTAATTATTTTCATGTTGTAGCTTACACTCAGTAAATTAATACCTTCATTTGCATGACAGTCAGGGATGTATGGTAAAAGTATGCTTGGTAGCTGTATGTAAGCATTATATTGACAAGGTGCTGACTTAATACAAATAGAAATGGAGGAAATTATTTCGTAAGACAAAACAATTGCATTGAGGAACAAATCTGCTGAAGTGCTTTTTGTGCATGCTAATAGTAGCAGAAGAGAGTAGCGACTCCAGTTTAGAAATCATATTAGCTTACATTTTATTTCACTGCTCACTGTTTTCTAAGTAAATCTCTTATGGTGTCTTAGGGGTGGGTATGTTTTATTTCAGGGTGCTACTATCCGAAGAGATGAGCATACAGGAGCTGTGATTGTAGCAAGAATTATGAGAGGTGGTGCAGCTGATCGCAGTGGTAAATTTCTAAAGAATTTGTATTTGTAAACTGTTTTAAAATTTCCAAAATTATGCATGCATGCATGTCCTGTGTACACACATCTAGACCAATAATATCCAACTAAATGTGATGATTATTCAATTCAAATCCAGTCCTTTGGACATGGGCATTTAATATGTGTATAGACTATTTAGTAAAAAAAAACAAAACACAAAAAACAACAAACAAACAAAAAAACCACCATCAAAATCTCAACAGGCAACTGTTAGATGTCTAGTCTGAACTAGTATGTCAGCTCTCTGTGTAGTCAGTGGAGGGAGATGGTCATTGTTGGAGAACAGATCATCCCAAGAAGCTTTAAAATCATAGAATCGTAGAATCATTAAGGTTAGAAGAGACCTTAAGGTCATGAAGTACCAACCCCCATGGCATGAGCAGGGAACCCTACCACTAGACCAGGTTGCACAAAACCTCGTCCAAGCTGGCCTTAAAACCCCCCAGAGACGAGGTATCAACAATCCCCCTGGGCAACTCGTTCCAGTTCCTCCCCACCCTTTTAATGAAGAATTTCTTCCAAATATCTAACCTGAATCTCCCCTCTCTTAGTTTAAAACCATTACCCCTTGTCCTATCACTATCTTCTCTGATGAAAAGCCCCTCCCCAGCTTTCCTGTAGGCCCCTTTCAAGTACTGGAAGGTGCTATAAGGTCTCCCGGGAGCCTTCTCTTCTCTAGGCTGAACAGCCCCAATTCTCTCAGCCTGTCTTCATAGCAGAGGTGCTCCAGGCCTTTGATCATCTTGGTGGCCCTTCTCTGGATCCTCTCCGACAGGTCTACATCTTTCTTGTGCTGAGGGCACCAGAACTGTATGCAGTATTCCAGGTGTGGTCTGAGCTGAGCAGAGGGGCAGAATCACCTCCCTGGCCCTGCTGGCCTCACTTCTTTTGATGTAGCCCAGGATGCAGTTGGCTCTCTGGGCTGCAAGCACACGCTGGCAGCTCATGTCAAGCTGCTCATCTACTACCACTCCCAAGTCCTTCTCCTCAGGACTGCTCTCCAGCTGTTCTCCCCCCCAGCCTGGATTTGTGCCTGGGGTTGTGCCGACCTAGGAGCAGGACCGTGCACTTGGCCTTGTTGAACTTCATGAGGTTGGGATTGGCCCACCTCTCCAGCCTGTCAAGGTCCCTCTGGATGGTGTCCCTTGCCTCTAGGGTGTCAACCACACCACACAGCTTGGTATCATCAGCAAAGTTGCTGAGGATACACTCAATCCCACTGTCTATGTCTCCAGCAAAGGTGTTAAACAGCTCTGGTCCCAGTACTGGCCCCAGAGGGACACCACTTGTCACCTGCCTCAATTTGGACATTCAGCCATTGACCACAACTTTCTGGGTGCAGCCATCCAGCCAATCTCTTATCCACCAAGTGGTCCATCTGTCACATCCATGTCCTGTCAGTTTAGAGACCAGGACGTCATGTGGGACAGCGTCAAACCCACAAATCCAGGTAGATGACATCAGTTGCTCTGCTACCATCCACCATCTCTCTAGCCTTGTTGTAGAAGGCCACCAGATTGGTCAGGCATGACTTGCCCTTAGTGAAGTCATGTTGGCTGTCACCATTCACTGCTTTATTTTCCATGTGCCTTAGCAGACTTTCCAGGAGATCTGCTCCATGATCTTGCCAGACATAGAGGTGATACTGACCGGCCTGTAGTTCCCTGGGTCTTCCTTTTTCCCCTCTTAAAAATAGGGGCTATGTTCACTTTTTTCCAATTGGGGAACCATACCACAATGCCGTGACATCTCAAATATGATGGACAAAGGCTTAGCAATTGCATCCACCAGATCTCTCAGGACCCATGGGTGAATCCCATTGGGTCCCTTAGATTTATGCACCTTCAGGTTCTTTAGATGGTCACAAACCTGCTCTACTTCTACAGTTGGGGGGGTAACTCACTTTCCCAGTCCCTGCTTTCACCTGTTGTGGCCTTTGTGTTGAAGCTAGAGCACTTGCCAGAGAAGACTTAAACAAAGAAGTCATTGAGGATCTCAGCCTTCTCAATATCCTGTGTTGCTACCTTGCCTGTTTCCTTCAGGAGAGGGCCTACACTCTCCTTGGTTGTCCTTTTCTCCCCAACATACCTAAGGAAGCTTTTCTTACTGTTCTTAACATCCCTGGCAAGAATTAATTCTAGCACAGATTAGGCTTTCCAAATATATTGGCTTTCCAGGATAGGTCACTTCAGGGATGGATTGCCTTGCTTCCTTATTGACTATAAAGAGAGCCTACACAGTAAGCTCCCCTGACAACTGAGTTTCTGGTGTCTAGTGGCAGGAGAGATGTGTGCATGTATGCTGTCATTTGGGATCTACAGGGTTAATTCATGCAGTATTTGACCTTCCATTTTCTAGAAGGTGATCATCCAGATTTTATTAAATACGCTGAATTGACCTGATACGAGATTTAGACTCCAAGCCTCGTGCACTTCTTTAATATACAAGTAGTGTAATACCAAAATTAATCACTGTGATGAAAAAACAGTAGCTAATTACAGCTTTTTCCTTAATTTTTGCCATTTTTCACAGTAGTGTAATCTGATAAATGCAATGTGAAATTACTAAAGTGTGTGCTTAGCATTTTTGTATTTCATCAGTAATTATTAATTTAATAGTTTTTTCTCTAAAATAGCTGCTAAGAAAAATACCAACAGAGGCGGGAGAAGTAGGTCTATGCTTTAGAAGAAAGAAGAACAAAGCATGTTTTTATAACAGTAGTTATATAACACAAGTGTAACATATCTAACTGAACAGGATCCTAAAACTTGTAAGGGCCTCTTCGTGGCTTTTTTTTTTTAAAAAAAACCGTCCAACATTCTTTATGAGACTGTAGTATTGATCTGTGAGTTGATGGCCATGTCATTCCTGCCTTTATAGTCGACAATGTATTTCGTGACTACAAGATTTGGTCATTCTCATGAAAGTATATAGTTTTGTATTCTTGATGCTCATCCAAATACAGAGGCAATGATTTTCCCAAAATATCTTTCCACATGTTGTGTATCTCCATGCTGGTCTCCTATGAGAAAAAAATGCCATATGGAATAAGGGCAGGAGACTTCAGAGCACATTGGCAACAAAGGCAGTGGGCTGTAGTAGGAAATCCATTGAGCTGGGAGAGGGAGGAAAGGAGGCACACGCTATTCACTTAGGTTGCACATCAGAAGAGTGGCACTTTCCAGTCTGTAAACTTATTTTATTTACCATGTTTTCAGGCCTTGTCCATGTTGGAGATGAACTAAGAGAAGTCAATGGTATTGCTGTGCTTCACAAGCGACCAGAAGAAATAAGTCAGATTTTGGTTTGCACTGATTTTAATTTCAAGATCTTTACTGTTGCGTGATCTACTAATTACAAAAGATGATTAAATTTAACCATGAGTTTAAATATGTGTAGAACTAAAAGATGCAACCCGTGCTTGTCTCTGCATTAAGAGTTTTTCTTTTCCCAGTGGATTAGGCTTCTTTGACGTCAGAAACTTGCACAAACTGAATTGGTACCAAGTAAGACATAAATTGCTCTGTCTTGAACTTCCCATTCATGCTTTGTTTATGACAAGCAAATCACAAAAGTGCATTCCTAGAAGATAAGCAGTTGATTTATAATGTGGTATTCTAGGAAGCTGAAGAAAGTCTTGGCTGTGTGTCCAACAGCGCTATAAGTCTTTTCTTTACCTGCAGAGTCTTTGTGAAATTAGCAAATTCTTGCTTCCAGCTGCTTTAGTATTGCTGCCTGCGAATCTTGAAAACTGTCTAAACTTCCCCATCTGTGGTCAGCCTGTTGTGTTTCAGAAAGTGCCATAGCTCTTATGCATATTTGTCTCTGACTCCCCTCTTGTGGCTTGATTCCCCCTTGTGTTGGTCTGGAGTTAGGGGCACAGTGTGACAAATGGCAACACTAGGAGAGTGTAATATCTGTTATCGGTTCCATCACCTAGTTTACATTTTGATCAGAATAATCCTGTGTAAGGAGGATGGCTGCTTTTAACCTGGGGAGGGAGGATCAAAGTTGCATTTTGAAATACTGTGTAGAGTTTTACTTGTGGGGATCCTGGATAGTTATTATTCTATCCCATTTTAAAGAACTGAAATGTAATAGGTTTTTCTTAATGATGTATTGTTTGTCAAATATGATTATTCATGTTTCCTTTTTAATCTGTGCAGAGTAGCAGGCTTCTCTGGGACAGCTAATCTCATACAAAATAAGGCATCTAAAATACATCAGATAAGCCTATTCTAGATTTTCAAAGCACCTGGAAGTGCTTTTTACTGTCAATAATCTTTGAAATTCAGTAGCAAATATTTTTGGAAGGAAAATAGGTGTTTACTTTGTAGGTGTTAACATTTCTTTCTAACCAGTTAACCACTATGTGGAAACATACAGCAGTATTTTTCAAAGGACCACTGAAAATTATTAGTCTGCAAGGACTTAAGTTAGTATTGTACTGAAAGCCACTGGAGTAATGGTAATGCCCTGTGAACTGTAATACAGAAACTAATGCAGTTGCTAAAAGCAAATTAAGGAATTGTAATGCAGATCCTGACGTGTTCTAACCAAGTAGTTACTGAGAAGACACTGTTGTGGAGGATTTGTGGAACATCATGATAATCTCTGTAATGGAGTTAAGTAGTGGTTTAGCTTGGCCTGTTAAAATTCTAAGGACAGACACAAGCTCCTAAACTGAAACTTCAATAGTCTGCATTGTGTCCTTTTCCTGCTTTCAAAGTAAAAAATCTTTCTGTCTTTGTCAGGCTCAGTCTCAGGGATCAATAACATTAAAAATAATTCCGGCCATCAAAGAAGAAGATCGTCTGAAAGACAGCAAGGTACGCAACTTAGTGAAACACTGAAGCACAAGATAGTAGAGCAGTTTCTTGTTGTAAAATGCAGTGCCCTTTTATTCAGTAGAATTACTTAATTACTTTTTCTTCTTCCTCTTCTTGGCACTAGTTCTTTCATAGTATTTTAGAAATCTGGCCTCTATTTTTTTGCATAATTAAAATGGGTGTTCCTGCCAGTCTCCTCCTACCATGACAGCTGCTATCTGTCCATTATCTCTGGGCATTTTGCAACTCACTTGACTCAAAACAGATGTATTTGCAAACATAGCTGCATTCCCCATTAGCCTACTGCAAACATCAGCATGCATCTTTGAGTGCTTAATTTCCCTCCTTGATCTGCAGTGACTTGCTGATCAACTGGTACCTAACAGGATTCCTCTGTAGATTTTTGTTTCTGCTTTTGTGCTCTCAATTGCTGCATTTTTCCTTGAAGCCCTGCAAATCACTTAGAAGTAGTTCTACTGTGCTGTGTTAAGTAGTGGTAAGATACAAATCCAAAGATGAACAGTAGATTTTGATGCATTAAAGGCACATTTTAGGAACAGCCTTTATAACTAGGCAACTTTGCCATCAATCCCTTTTTATTGTTTTCTCTTTCCCCTAAAGTTTTTCCTTTGCTGCATTTTGTACTTGCATAGACTGTGAACTGTGAGTCCGGTGTTCCCCAATGCCAATACATAATGACTGGGTAGGTGCTTGAAAGTTAGTTTACTTTTCTCACACTCATTTATGTAGAAAATGTTTGTCGTGCCAGTGAATAGGCCCGAACAGATCCTTCAGCAAAGCACAGTTTACACTCTTGCAAGAATGGGTGACATAACAAGTAGGCACACCCATAGTAAGGTGAATAACTGTTTATATTCCCTATTCCCAATGCAAAGTTCTCTCCCCTTTTTCCCCACTGGCTGGGTAGTCCAGGGTTTACAGCCTATCTGACTCTTCTAATTATCCTGTAAGCCCCTGTTTACATATTCCATTGTAGCAGTTTACTTTTATCTTTTAAGGTATATCTGACCTTTCTTGCCCCCTTGGCTGTCTTCCCAATCAGCAAAATGATCTATTGGTGTCATTGTGCTCCGAGCAGCGAGATATAAGTGGCTTTGTTCAGTCTTAATCTTGGGCCATAAATCCTTCTCCATGTTTGGATCCCCCAGATGGAGCCCAATTAAGTCCCTTAGTTTCTTGGACCGTAAACCACCCCAGGTGTCGTTGGAATGTGCCGATATCTCACTTCTCTCTTAAACAATTATATTCCTAACACTAGGGTATATATAAAAGAAAAAAACAACCCAGCAATATGCTTTTAATACTAAGATGCGAAAACAATACTACATTTCATTTCTAACAATGAGTAAGTCAGAAGGAGAGACGAAGAGTACATGTAGTTAGCAGTGTAAGCACTGGGGAAGCCTTTTAAAGGTACTTTGAAATTCCAAATAAGACAAGAATTAAGGATGTTTTACTTTCTTTTAACCAGTTAACCACTATGTGGAAACATACAGCAGTATTTTTCAAAGGACCACTGAAAATTATTAGTCTGCAAGGACTTAAGTTAGTATTGTACTGAAAGCCACTGGAGTAATGGTAATGCCCTGTGAACTGTAATACAGAAACTAATGCAGTTGCTAAAAGCAAATTAAGGAATTGTAATGCAGATCCTGACGTGTTCTAACCAAGTAGTTACTGAGAAGACACTGTTGTGGAGGATTTGTGGAACATCATGATAATCTCTGTAATGGAGTTAAGTAGTGGTTTAGCTTGGCCTGTTAAAATTCTAAGGACAGACACAAGCTCCTAAACTGAAACTTCAATAGTCTGCATTGTGTCCTTTTCCTGCTTTCAAAGTAAAAAATCTTTCTGTCTTTGTCAGGCTCAGTCTCAGGGATCAATAACATTAAAAATAATTCCGGCCATCAAAGAAGAAGATCGTCTGAAAGACAGCAAGGTACGCAACTTAGTGAAACACTGAAGCACAAGATAGTAGAGCAGTTTCTTGTTGTAAAATGCAGTGCCCTTTTATTCAGTAGAATTACTTAATTACTTTTTCTTCTTCCTCTTCTTGGCACTAGTTCTTTCATAGTATTTTAGAAATCTGGCCTCTATTTTTTTGCATAATTAAAATGGGTGTTCCTGCCAGTCTCCTCCTACCATGACAGCTGCTATCTGTCCATTATCTCTGGGCATTTTGCAACTCACTTGACTCAAAACAGATGTATTTGCAAACATAGCTGCATTCCCCATTAGCCTACTGCAAACATCAGCATGCATCTTTGAGTGCTTAATTTCCCTCCTTGATCTGCAGTGACTTGCTGATCAACTGGTACCTAACAGGATTCCTCTGTAGATTTTTGTTTCTGCTTTTGTGCTCTCAATTGCTGCATTTTTCCTTGAAGCCCTGCAAATCACTTAGAAGTAGTTCTACTGTGCTGTGTTAAGTAGTGGTAAGATACAAATCCAAAGATGAACAGTAGATTTTGATGCATTAAAGGCACATTTTAGGAACAGCCTTTATAACTAGGCAACTTTGCCATCAATCCCTTTTTATTGTTTTCTCTTTCCCCTAAAGTTTTTCCTTTGCTGCATTTTGTACTTGCATAGACTGTGAACTGTGAGTCCGGTGTTCCCCAATGCCAATACATAATGACTGGGTAGGTGCTTGAAAGTTAGTTTACTTTTCTCACACTCATTTATGTAGAAAATGTTTGTCGTGCCAGTGAATAGGCCCGAACAGATCCTTCAGCAAAGCACAGTTTACACTCTTGCAAGAATGGGTGACATAACAAGTAGGCACACCCATAGTAAGGTGAATAACTGTTTATATTCCCTATTCCCAATGCAAAGTTCTCTCCCCTTTTTCCCCACTGGCTGGGTAGTCCAGGGTTTACAGCCTATCTGACTCTTCTAATTATCCTGTAAGCCCCTGTTTACATATTCCATTGTAGCAGTTTACTTTTATCTTTTAAGGTATATCTGACCTTTCTTGCCCCCTTGGCTGTCTTCCCAATCAGCAAAATGATCTATTGGTGTCATTGTGCTCCGAGCAGCGAGATATAAGTGGCTTTGTTCAGTCTTAATCTTGGGCCATAAATCCTTCTCCATGTTTGGATCCCCCAGATGGAGCCCAATTAAGTCCCTTAGTTTCTTGGACCGTAAACCACCCCAGGTGTCGTTGGAATGTGCCGATATCTCACTTCTCTCTTAAACAATTATATTCCTAACACTAGGGTATATATAAAAGAAAAAAACAACCCAGCAATATGCTTTTAATACTAAGATGCGAAAACAATACTACATTTCATTTCTAACAATGAGTAAGTCAGAAGGAGAGACGAAGAGTACATGTAGTTAGCAGTGTAAGCACTGGGGAAGCCTTTTAAAGGTACTTTGAAATTCCAAATAAGACAAGAATTAAGGATGTTTTACTTTCTTTTAAAGGTGTTTATGAGGGCACTTTTCTGCTATAATCCCAAAGAAGACAGAGCCATTCCTTGTCAGGAGGCTGGACTGCCATTTAAGAGACGACACATCCTAGAAGTTGTAAGCCAAGATGATCCCACATGGTGGCAAGCAAAGCGTGTTGGAGATACGAACCTCAGAGCAGGCTTGATCCCCTCAAAACAGTTCCAAGAAAGGTTTGCCAATGAAGATTATAAACATTTTTTTCAGTGTTACACATTTTTTCACAGGCAATTAAGGGTAGAAGCATGCCAGGTTGAGTATCAGATGCTTAGAAGAAAGTGCTAAAAGCTCCATCTTCTCCAATTATATGAGAAACTTCTTAGCTTTCCTTGGCTAGTTTGCCATTGACTTTTGCTTTGTAGCATGAGGACAGAAGCACATATGAAAGCTGACATATGATGATGAAAGATGACATATGAAAGATCTAGTCTCTTGACTCTCTTGGCTTGTGCAGACACTGTATTTCACAGATTTGTATCGCAATTATTGTTGTGGGGTGTTTTTGTGTTGGGTTTTTGGGGTAGGGAGATGGGGATTTTTAAGCGAATTCAAGACTGGGAGATTGGGAGTTGAGCTCTGGTTTGTGATTTTAACACTATTCTTGTATTTTCACACAAGGTGGGTATTGTGGTTTGTTTACTAGTAAATAACAGAAAAGTCCAAAGTTACCTGGAAGACAGTGGATAATTTCTGAGTATGCATAGCTGCAGTGATAATTCTGGACAAAGAATCTCCTTTTGAGTTCTGTTTGAGGTTAGTTTTAGGATTGTGGCAGACAGGAATTTTGACCATCCTTTATAAAAATAGCAAATAGAAGTTGGATTCTCAGCAGAATTATAATCGGTTTTGTTTTCTTAATCTTAGGAAAGGAAAATAGAAAAAAATAACATTTATAAAAGTAATGTGCTATTGATTTCTGTGCTCTGATGTATAAAAGCCTAGAATGTTTTAGAATCTTCTCTCAGTCACTTACGAGGAGCAATCTGGGACATAGTTTTAAAGAAAAAGTATTTTAAAATGTTGAACCAGAGACATTGTCTAATTTTCAAGGAAAAGCACAATTTAATTTATAATTTTCAATGTTATACATATAACATGCTATAAATTCTTCATAATTCTGAGATTACATGGCTAAAAATAGTTCTTTTCTATTTAGACGACTGACTTACAGAAGAACAACAGGCACTCTGCAGAATCCCAGAACTGTGAAGAAACCTTTATGTGAGTCTGTTCTGTTCCTTTAGTCTTAGTTGATAGCTACCTCTCAGTATTTTTCTATTATTTCTATAATGATGTGTTTGAGTATATTTTGTGTAGTATGTCATTGATTGATTTCTGCCACACAAGAGGATTTGGGTTTGAGCTGTATGCAGTGTTGCCTGTTGTTTTTAAAAGAATATGACAGCCCTCTTTTCCTACCTTCAAGAACATGAGGTCTTAAGTACTGTTTAAATGCTTTAAAATTTACAAGTGTAGGCATTTTTTCTATGGTTTGAAACTTGAAAGCTGCAAGAGTAACCTAATGTACACTTCTTGAAATTCTTACCTAAGTGCATGAAATTACTCTTAAGCTTGTATGAAACTAAACTGTAGCTTTAAGAAGAATAAAAACAACTGGAGCTGTCAATGCTATTTGCATTTCAGGTTTGGCACTACAGAGCTGGTCCTAAGTAGACTTTAAAGTGCCTTTTTTTTTTTTTTTTTTACAGCTCTGAAGCCTCTGTCAGTGAATTACTCACACAAAAACTGCTACTTGTGATGAAAGTGCTAGTCAGTGATGAAAGGCAGAAGGCATTCTGTAGTATCCCAGAATATAATGTTCCCGTTGCTCTTGGGCAGTTCAGCACAGCTATTACTGATGTGTGGGGCAGCCCCGTGACTTCTTGAAGCCAGACATTATTCTAAGAGTGCCACTCTCATGTAGACTAGGCATCTGGGAATTGTCCATCTTCAGTGGTATAAGTGAACTTCTAACTTGTGGTGCATGGCACATCTCATGAAGAGATACAGGTATTCTTATGCTACCAAATGGAGGGAAGATGCTCAATGGAATTATGAAACAGTATTACTGATTTAAATAAGTTTTTCCAAGTTAGCTTCCATTACATTCAATGTTAGGAGGCACGTAATGAGGATTGCTACTTAGGCTTTTTCTCAGATGTTCTCAAGACATTTTTATTTACTGTCTATAATACTAAATTTTACCCAAAAAGTATGTAATCAGTTGATAAGGGTATGTTACTGCATTATTTTTTTAAGATGGGAAAGCCATCTTAAAGGCCAGAAGAATCTTCCTTTCCATTCCCTCTAATTTTACTCAGTCATTTGCCAGACTTTTAATATCATACCAACTCTGCCTTTCATGCTAACTACAGATGATCAGTCTTCTGATAAAGGTAGGCACTCTCTTAACTCATTTGCTGTCTGAATATAAACAACCAATGCATTTCCTAAAATACTTGCTAAGCCCTCAAGCAAAGTGAATGGTAGATAACAGCTTGTTCCTGCAGCAGTTTCTTCCCAAGTTATTATTTACACTAATTTAATTTGGATTGATGGCTTAAGTAATGATAACTTCCAAATTTATTCCCAATTTGATAAGATTTGTGTCTTCTGCAATGCATTTTCATGTTCTGTAGGTTTCTGAATGAGGTTGAAAGATCTGCAAGTTAAATGCAGTCTCTGTAGCTGGTATTTTTTAAGAAAGAAATAAATATTTGGGTTTAACATCTTAGAGCACCTCTGTCAATCCGGATTGATTTTTCTTCACTGTCCATTTGGCCTGTTTACTGTGCTATTTTCATTATAAACAATTGTGTTGGGCTCATGCAGTGTATATGTCCTTCCTTTCCAAATATCAGGTATTTTTGGTTGAATTCTGCATGCTGTGTTTTTTGTTGTTGTGTTTTGGCTTTTTGGTGTGTTTTTTTTCGCAATACACATGCTTCTTGAGAACAATATTCCAGGCATTGGTATTCTGTTAACTTCCATAAAAGTACTAATCACATTCTATAATTGGTCAGCTGCGACTAGTATGACCTATCAAAGCATGAGTGTGAAATTAAAGCCTATCTTCAGCAACAGAAAATACCAATATACACCTATCCTAGCTAGGATAGGTACATATTGCTACTAGTATCTTCTGCTAATGTAGGCATAATGTTTTACGAGCATACGCTGGCATTGCTTGGTTACACACCTGCATGTGACCAAAGCTCTTTCTTAGATTGGCGCATTTTGTTTAGAGTTTAAGCTGCATATATTTTTGCTTATGGTTGGGCTTGTTCCAGAACCATGCAACTTTTAACAAGCCAAGTAGCCCTCTTTCAGGAGGTATGAGAACTCTGGATTTGTTCTAGGATTGTAGTATAGTGTTATGCAGCTAAGTATCATGATTTTATTTTGCATACTTTTAGAGGCCTTGGAGGTGGTTGTAGTTTGAGGAGGGGTAGGTTGTTTTTTTTAACGTAAATTTGCAAATTATTTTACATGCATGCTTGTGACAAAAGCATCAAAACTTTGTTTCTAATAAAGAATTAATAAGCAATTATAACTAACTTAAAAATGAAGGTGTTTAGAGCTCATATTCGAGTCATATCTGATTCCCTTTTTTCCAGTCCAAATGATACTGAAATGTCAGAAGAAGCAATATTCTTACATAATCACACCCATTTATAAAGTCATACATTAAAAAAAGAACTTTGTTTATGGAGTCCTGTTTTTTCTTAAGTATGAATGTTACACTTTTAGCAGCAGCACTGATGAAAGTAATGAATGCTGAAGGGCATAAATTCTGGGAACCGTAAGTACTGAGATGTAAAATTCTCTTGTGCAATTTCGACATCAAGGATTTTTAAAAATTAAACCACTAGCCGAGGCAAATACTTTTTTTTTTTTTTGTATTACTAATATTTGTCATAGAAAACTGTGTGCATATAATGCAAGCTATAAAACTTCTCCTTTCCTCACCAGTGAGCTTGTATTGCAGGCACTAAGATACCTCCCTCCTGCCCTCTCACTCTCTTTTTGCCTGTGCCCTTACACCTTCCTCCTCTCCCCTGCTTTTTCATTTACAGAAGACTGTGACTGTGAAGGATACTTCAATGGACAATACATAGGTGAGAAACAAAAATTCCTTTCCTCTTTCCTAACACCCCCTTCCCTCGTCAAAAAAACCCAACAAACCCAAACACCCCTCAGAAAAATCTCCCACGTTTAAACCCAAAACCTAGCTTATTTACACTGATTTCCTATATATGAATAAAGTAGTTTATCTCCATGCATTGGCATGATTGGACTTCGGCATAGCCAACACTTGGCAGCTCAAGGTGATACGAGAAGAGTTCTGTTCTAGATTGGGTGGTTGATTTTCTACCTGATAGGCAAATTGTTCATCTGTAAGATTAACATACGAGCACTGATTATATTATTAAAAAATTGTAAGAATAACTTGTATTTAAATACAGAGTAACATCTAGAACATCTGAACAAGCTTGAAAATTTAGTTAAGTGGAGACATGGTTTAATATAGCTTTTATTTTCCTCGACAGCTGGTTTACGCAGGAGCTTTAGATTAAGTCGTAAAGAGAAGGAGAACAATCTGAATGAAGGAAAGCAATCAATGCAGGGAGATGCAGCAGAGTTCCTAACATATGAAGAAGTCACGAAGTATCAGCAGCAGCCTGGTGACCAGCAAAGGCTGGTGGTTTTGATTGGTAAGATACAAAAAATACTTCAAAATTTTCTACCTATTTTCCCTCTTCCCTTATCAAATATGCTCCAAGAGACTTCCTTTAGGTGTTTGATTTTGGTTTTCGTGGTTCTGATGGGGTGTTTTAAAAGTTTTTTTTTTTTATGGGTTTTGTCAGAAGTTGTTCTTTTCTTTTACATGACATTAAAAAAATGCAAAAATAAGCAAAAGAACCTCCAAAATCCAACCAAACCTACCAAATAATTGTAAAAATAAAGACGCAGGACCATTTATCATTTTTCTGATTCACTTTCTCACTCAAACATGTACATACTTATGCTACCAGAACATTAGATGAAAAGGTAGATACTAGAATTATCTAACAAAATTTTCACATGCAATTTCAGTTCCGTGTGCTTAGCAGTTTTGTGTTAAGCCAGTTTCTCAGGATGTCATGTAAATCCAGGGTATCTCATAAAACTGACTGCTGGGCTTACAGATTTTCTTAGTCCCTGACAAATATTTGTCCAAAGCAGTTCAAGAATTCAGTTTGTTCCTGAGAATGTTCTTTGAAGCAGCATGTGGTGGGTCATGAGGTCTCGTGTAGAGGTTTCTTCAAGCACACTCCTGTGTCATATTTTTTGTGTGAAATTGGTATTTCCTTGCAGTATTTCATTCCACACAAAAATCTGTCAGTCAGTTCTTTTTTGTTAGGTTCTTTGGGGGCCAAATTAAGTGAGCTCAAGCAAAAGGTTGTGTCAGAGAACCCACAGGAGTATGGTGTTGCAGTTCCACGTGAGTAAAATTTATTGACTTCTGTGTGTTTACACTTTATTCCATAAATCCAGTCTAATAGTGTAGTGCTAGGTGCATTGATGAATGCTATGTTTTCTCTTAATGGCAGAATAGATTGCTAAATAACTTGACATATATACATTTTTGAATTCTGTCAGCTCAGTTGATTTTTTTTTTTTAATTTTGTTTTCCCAAGTGCACAGATTGCATTTGCTCCATGTCTATTAAGAAATGAGAAACTGAATATAGGAAGAAAAAGTAAAATTGTAAATTGCAAAAAGAACTAGTGTGAAAAACTAGTAGCTTAAGATTCAGCAAAAATATTACATGTGTTTAAAAAAGGATGACTTTTCTTCAGAATATCATACCAGCTAAAGTATATTAAAAAAAAGTAGACAGCAATAAACCAAGTAAAAAAATGTAGAAGATTTTAAATTGTTGATTAGTATATCTGGACTGTTCACACAAGCCATTCTCAGTGACAGAAAAACTAGTGATTCTGTTGCATGGCTTTGTGGTTAGAGTTACACTGAAATTCTTTTGCTGGATTATTGAAAAAAAAACAACAAACCAAAACCCACCAATATTTGTATTCCCCCACAAACTACTTTAGCAATCAGAAAAATTAATATTGAGAGCACTGTTAAGATGTTCAATAAACGTCTTTCAGTTAGATACTAAATCAGTTAGCAGTAGAACTCATATGGTAAATTTTACTTCAATTTAATAATAGTAATAACTATTATTAAAGTAAATGACAACATCAGAAGTAAGGGACACACGTAATTGTGTAAGTTTCACAGTAGCATGGGAAAAGCTGGGGATATTACTCGAAATTCAGAGGCAGCAAAATTAGACTTTATATATTTCCTATTTTTATTTCCTGAGTTTCAGAAAAAATGAGCTGAATATTTCAAACAGTTAAGAGATACTGTTTTCCACAGAAAGCTGTTTCTACCAGGTGTAAGAAGTGCGCTTTCTAATTTTTGTGTTAGTTAAAGTGTGCTTGGGAGCAAAACAACTTCATTTTTGGTCTTAAAATTTTTGAGTTTAAAACAGAATTAAAGTGCTTTGATTTATATTTTGTGTTAACTTATATTTTATGTTAATTTGAATTTGCCAGTGCATAACTGCTTTTTTTGAAGTAATGAAAATGTGATTGGAACAAAACAGAGAAAATACAGTTGCTTCCAACGCTGATCTGTCTGCTGTGTCTTGCTTCCATTCTCTTCTAGATACAACCAGGTCAAAGAAAAGTCATGAGAAAGAGGGAGTAGAATACAATTTTGTTTCTAAGCAATCATTTGAGACAGATGTACAGCAAAACAAGTGAGTTATTTTTAAAATACTGGCATAATTGGCTGCATTTTTATAATATTGCTAATTAAATCTTACATAACACAACAAAATCAGGTGTACAGTTTGACTAGCAGCATTAGGTTCCGCTTTCCTAGTAAAAAGCTCTTTATTCAGTCTGGACTGTTAGTGTTAACTCTGAAATGTAGTAAGAAACAACTTAGAAAGAACATAGGACTAGCAGTTAGGATCGTAAGTTAGAATTTAAGTGTAGTGTAAGTAGTGTGATTGGTCAGTATTGACCCTAATGAAGTAACAGATATTCAGTAGAGTCCTACTTAACTCTCTATTTAATATGAGTCCAATTTAAAATGTATTGTAGACTGAAACCATGGATATAGAGGACTTTCTATAAGATTGTGTTTCCTGAAAGTACAGATTTTTGGCTAGTATCTCAGAAGATGGAAGAATTGGAGACCATTTCCTCGACAACTTTGTTCTATTTTCTGTGAAAAACACCTTCTTTCTTCTATTAGGCTTGAACATCAGTCAACTGAATTAATACAGCTTCTTCCCCTATTTGTCAGTATTAGTGATTGGCTATTAGTGACATGTGAAGAAGATGATTGCTACTAAGCAACCAGAAGGGAAAAAAAAATCAGAAAAATTAAACCCTTTCCATGCTCCCTCTCTGCATTTGATTTCTATGACTTTGGGAAACAGCTGTGAAATGTTGTAAGTTAAATATTCTTTGTGGATGGTATTTAAAATGTATTGACTTTTTAGATTTGTGGAACATGGAGAATACAAAGAGAACCTGTATGGTACCAGTCTTGAGGCAATCCGATCTGTGATGGCTAAAAAGAAGGTTTGCCTGGTGGATGTGGTTCCTGAAGTAAGTTCCGCAGTTTATTTTAAACAAAGCAAGTATTTCTTTCTAGTCCCCCAGCCTAACTACCTGACGTTGTTCACCATTTGTGGCTACTTGCTTTGCAAAGAACAATGATGTTCTTAGAACTTGTGTTTCTATGAGGTGGCCTGGTTGCTAGCTAAGCAGAATAGAGCTCTTTAGAAAGCAATGCAGTGTTTACATTTTCTAGATATCTAGTTGATAGAGCCTGGCTGACACTTTATGAGTTCTCACAGTGGGATTTTTCCCTTGCTATATGAGCAGTGTATATTGCTGTCCTAGAGAGAATACTCAGAGCGTGGACAGGCTTTGCATTATTTCTTCCTATTGTAACCAGTGCCAGTATACCTGTTCTTAATACCTGCAATACTGGGAGTCAATATTTGAAATTTTCATTCTGATTTTGTAACTGGGCTAGGAAAAGACATGTAGTACTACCTCAGATGAATTCCAGGTTTAAAATTTCCAGTGTTGCAAACTATAACTTGCCTGTCAAATTAATTTTTAAAAATACATTTCTCAGTGTCTTTTGCCATATCCTTGTTCCTGATATCATAATGCATAGCAAGGCAGATGTGCAGCTAGACCATGCTCCAGGAAGCTCATGTGCCCTTGGAAGCTAGCCAGGACACTGACATTAACATTTATTTTGAAGATTAATGTGGTCAGATAGATTGTAAGCAGAACTTCACACCACAGTGTGTATAAAACTGTTGAACCCAGCTTGAGCAGATCATTGACCTATAATAACAACAAAATAATTTAAAAATGGTGTAACAAAAAATGTCTGCTTACAGGCAGTAAAGCACTTGAGGACTCCTGAGTTTAAGCCATATGTTATCTTTGTGAAGCCTCTCATTCCAGAAAAGAAAAAACATGTCCTAAAATCTCCCATATCAGAAGAAACCTCATCCCCCCTTGTAAGTATGCTTACTTCAGTCTTTTCCTTTTAGACATGAAAGTAGTACTTGAGCTAGCATTTCTATGATATGGAAGAGCTCCTCTTCCATGACAGCGAGAGTCGGAGTGAGGCACCAAGTACGTCCTGTGCACATACAACCATTCAACTGGAATTTTAGGGTGAGATATTTTGACTCCCTTAAAACTCGACTATATAAGAAACATGAAGCAAAGTGCACCTCTTCCATGTGGATCTATGAACACTTCTCAAGGCTGCAGCAGGGAAAGCTGCTACTGAATTAAAAATAATTTTAGATTTCTGATGAGCAGTCCCATCAAATGGTAAAGGTAGCCACCTATTCCTGGTACTTCCAGAGAGACACCCACCTAGGCTGGTAATCAGGTACACAAAATATCCAGCATGTAGATGGTCGTAAAAGGACCAAACCTAGACCAGCTGCAAATTGGTGGTGTGTAAATGGGAACAGAAATACTGAGAGTGAACTTTAAATTTGCATGTAACAGAAGTTACTTCACTTGGAAAGTTTTCATGTAATCTCTTAAAATTACTGAACTTGGGGACAGTGGGTCCAGCATTCCTTTTGAACTTTTGAGGAGAACGATTTCCAGATGTTAGGTTAGGCAACAACTCTTAACCTTGTAAAATGCAGTGTCACCAACTTATGTCCCTACTGTAACATGTTCTTTTTTTTTTTTTTCTTCCTCCTTGTCACCCCTTGCATTTTTGAAATAGCCTACCAAATTTCAGCAGTGGTATCTTGATCTCACTTGTATTATCTTATATACCCCTTCCTACCAGTAGCAGCTCTTTTCTTTTCAAAGTAATGACTTACTCTGCTACTGTACTTTAAAATGCTATTAATTAAAGAGACATGCTATAAATTTCATACCATTTTCTCATGTTGATCAGCAGGATGAAGAACAGCAGGAAATTATTAATTCAGCAGCATTCATTGAAGAGCAGTATGGCCATTTAATCGACACTGTACTGGTGAAGGAAGATCTCCAGAGTGCATGTAGTCAGCTGAAAACTGTATTAGAGAAACTAAACAAGGATTCATTTTGGGTGCCAGTCAATTGGGTTAGATCATAGCTTGTTGTCATCTGTTTAGGGGAAATACTGTATAAAAATGCTTTGTGAATATATGGATTAGAAAAGGAAATATGTCAAATTCACTTGAAAACTGCTGGTATACCTAGGAGGTAATACATAAAGACTGTATGAGAAAAACTAAACCAAGTCAGAAGCTGACACTGTGTTCCTGAATCAAAATCTTGAACATCTGCCACTTAAAAGTGAGTATTCAGACTAAATGGATCAGTAAAAGATTGGAGTTGCTTTTAGACTGTAAGTCATGCATTTTGTACATTGAAGTTTCACAGGGCATCCCACACTTTCAACGCATTCAAGGAGTGCTAGGACTAACCTAACACACAGCTGGAATTTTTATCCTTTGGCCATAAATGTTGTGGCTAGAGTTAAGACATCTGAGCAAGGTACTTTTCAGGAACCAGTATGCCTACATAACAAGCTACTTCAGGGAGGGGGGAGGATTCTCTTTGGAGAATTCTTACACCATGTTAGTTACTCAAAAGTTTGAGTGACTGTTGAGCAAAATGTGTCACAAACACAGAATTACCCTGAATCACCAAGGCTGGAAAAGACCTTTAAGATCAAGTCCCCTTCACTCAGGATGATTAGCTGCAAATCCTTTCCAATTAGGCACTAAAACTAGGCCAGTTATGTAAGTTGTAGATGTTGTAGTGGCTGAGAGATGTTTGGGTTTTTTTCTTAATGTCCATCCCACATTTCCCAGTGCCTCCAAGTTGCCTTGCTCAGGTATTAGCCTGTGCATGAGCTCATCTGCATCTTATGCACACTTCCCTGATCTCTTCCTATTTACACAGGACACATACTGAGCAACCTGTGAACACAGCTGCATGACTTCCCAGTGCATAACCAGAGCCTTTTTTTTGTCTATATGAAAACAACAGTGTATATGATTTTAAAAAGGACTATTGAGAGGCTTACTTTCTACAAGACATCTTTGCAAATGCCACCTGGTGGGATACCATCAACATAGCAGGTCTAAAAAGGGCACTAAGAGGAAGAAGCTGAATTATCAGGTAGCAGAGCTGCGGGTACAAATTATCATCCTTTGAGCATTTATGACCATCTTTGTTCCAAACCAGGTAAAGGCTTCCAGAGCATCAAGTCTGGAAGAAGAAATCTTAACTGCTAGAGGACTTTGCATGTATTTCAGGAGACTTAAATATACAGGATTTTTCAGATGGGTGTTAATAAGAAAATGCAGAAAGGTGACGCTTTATAAGTATTTGAAAAAAATAATAATATTGAACATGTGCATGTTAGCTGAAACTAGTTTGTGTTTTCCATTGCCTGTTGAGGTGTAATCTTTCCTGTGTATTACGCCTTTCAACAGACCTTTTTGGTGCACCAGTCTGATTCCTTGCATTTTAACAGTATGATGTTAATCTTCTTTCACTGCATTTTGCAAAACTAACAACACTGCATATTAAAAGCATATTTCTAAGATACCAGTGTCACCAAATCTACATGAGCCTAAAAAAGTTGCATAAGACAGTCACCCAGACCCATGTGCTCCAAACATGTTCCCTGGAAACTTTCAAGTGTTGTCCTGCCTACAGTTTTGGAGGCTTCCACTCGTCCAAGAGTATGCACTTTTTACCGTGCTTTTAAGATCTCTGGCTTGGTGTAGCAGATACACTGTGAGACTGGTGGCCTTGGCAGATGTACAAGGGCTCCTTCATGTGCTGGTGTACCATCAACTCTGCCCTTAACTCTGCAAGCTTGTCCCATCACAGCCACCAAAACTAATAAGGCTTACAAGAGAGACATGGCGGTCAGTAAGGCCGCGCTGAGTCTCTTACTCCGATGCTCAGAAAAGAAAAAAAATAATAGGGCGCTGCGACGTTATTGTTTTCCGGTGTTTAAATTTTTTTTTCCCGGGGGACTCTGGGCTGCCACCGTGTGTCCGCATTTCGCTACTGCAGCCGGGCAGCGCCGCAGGTGCACGAACGCAGTTTTGCAGCGGCCTCTGCTGTTCAGTATAGGTACTGCACATGAAGGTTGGTGCATGCGCAGTAACAAGAAGTTGCACCTAGCCCACCGTAGGCTTAACTGCGTGGCCCCGCCCCGGCTCCTTGCGTGTTTCTGCCCCTCCTTGCTGCGAGCCGCGCCCCTGCTTTGTGTCTCCCACCGTCGCTCCTTCGTGCGTGGCTCCCCTCTTTGAGCGTGCGCCGCCCCTTTCTGGGTGTCCACCATGCTGTGTGTTTTGCTTTTTTTGTTTTTTTTTGTTTTGGTTTTTTTTTTTTTTTTCTTTCCCTTTGTGTGTGATGCTTTTATTTTCCCCTGCGCAGCTCGCGGCTGTCGGCGCGTGCCCAGACCAGGGTGCTGCGGGCGGTGCCGCAGGGCAGGGACCGGAGCTGCTGCGCTCTCTGCTGGCACCTGGTGTCCAAA